ACTTCAAAAGTATTTATATATAGGCCATAAATGTTAGGCAAGTTTTACATTTGATGAATGAACTAAAAAGCTCAAGGGTCAAGCCTGGGTGATTTTTTTTTCTCTGTTAATAAATGAAGCAAGATTTTGCTTGTCAGTAAGGGTTGATGAATATCAACATGAAAGAAAGAAAAGAAAATGGAAAGAAAGAAAGATAAGGAGAGAAGAAGATGCGGCTGGTGAAGAAGAAGAAAGATAGAGCAGTGACCAGTGACGTGTGTCTTGAGGGGTAGATATGTCTTTCAAATTTGCCTTCCTGTGCTGGAAAGTAGATTGCCGAATGCCGCCAAAAAAAGTGAGAATTAATTTTCCTTTATGTAGATGAAAAGTGAGAATTAATTTTGTAGGTTTGCCTGATGAAGACTTTAGCCTCGCCTAATTATTTGGAAAGTAGCTTGCCGAATGCCGCCAAAAAAAGTGAGAATTAATTTTCCTTTATGTAGATGAAAAGTGAGAACTAATTTTGTAGGTTTGCCTGATGAAGACTTTAGCCTCGCCTAATTATTTAAAAGAAGTGCATGATTTGACATTTAGGGGATTGCGGGGCCAATTTCTAATAGCCTGGATCCCACATTCCATTTCAGTCCCCAAAAAAGAGATCCTGCATTCCATATAATGACCTATCTTTTCACATCAACTTTGAAATATACTTATTTTTGTGAATATAAATTAAGAAGTATTTTTTTAAAAACGAAATTTTTTTTATATATTTACTTCGTATATTATAAAAATATTTTTAAAATCATGATTTGGTTTCTATCTAAACATTCTCTTATAATTTGTTTACAAAAATTTTAATTTATGCATAATATATTCTAATTTTTCTCACAAAATTTGAATTTGACATTTTGAGCAGAACAACTTTTGATTAGAGATAGCTTTTTCGATTTAAATTCAAATTAGGCAAATGACCTATCTTTAAAAAGCTCTCTAAATCTAATTTTTAATGTAATAAGATCCATTCAAAAATACTCTATAAATTTAAAGTTATGATCGAAATTGTAAGCAAGGATCAAAAACGTTTTTTTCACTAGATTTTGAGCTAGATTTGAAAAATCATTTCTATTTCATATGAAGACATTTTTATTGAGACAGATGTTGTTAAAAAGCTATTGAGTCTGTGTTTATATATAACAAGTTTTCACTTCAAAAGTATTTACACATAGGCCATAAATGTTAGGCAAGTTTTAAATTTGATAAATGAGGTAAAAGGCTCATGCGTCAAGCATGGGTATTTTCTTTTTTTGCTGATACGGGTGATGTTCTTTTTTTTTTTTAATGAATGAAACGTTTTGCTTGTCGACAAAGAATGATGAATATCAAGACAAAGAAAGAAAAGGAGATGGAAAGAAAGAAAGAAAGATGAGGAGAGAGGAAGAAGTAGCAGGTGAAGAAGAAGGAGCGGGCAAAATAACGTGTTTTGAAGGATAAATATATCTTTTACATTTGCCCATCTGTGCTGAAAAACGAGTTTCTATCAAAAGGGTGAAAATTGATTTTCTTTTACGTACATGAAAATTGCCCGCAGCCCAAAAAAAATTGATTCTCAGAAAATTATCCAACCAAGTTCTTGGAAATTTTGATTTTGATTTTTTGTTGTTGTCAGAGTTGGATCTTCAACGTACCAAACGCGCTGTGAAAGTCTTTCATATTTTTAATTTGGGTAGAAATTCACTTTCCCAATGACCTAACCCTAGGGTATTCAGGTAAAAAAAAAAAGACCTAACCCTAGGGTAGGTTTGATCATGCCGACTTCAGCCTCGGGCCTCGCTTAATTATTTTAAAAGAATACATGATTTGATGTTCAGGGAAGTGGGGGCCCCATTTCTGATAGCCTAAATCCTACATTCCATATGATGGGATTCATTAGGCTTGATAGCAAAGATGATTAGAGTGAGGGTGGGGATTTGAATGGAGGCACCTGAAAAAGGAGCCACTCCCATGTTCATCGTAGAAATTAGAATATTTAGTACTCCTCCGGTCTTTATTATAAGATCCAATTTGATTTTTTATTTGGTCCTAATTATAAGACCCCAATTCATTTTGTCTCTTATATTTATGCATTTTTTTCCAAGATAATCTTTCTAATAATGATAGTTTTAGCCAATATATTTAATTAGCAAGGATATTTTAGGAATGACAACACTTATTTATTATAAATAACCAACTTAACTTACTTCCTTAATCTCCTCAAATAAGTCAATTGGGTCTTATAATTAAGACCGGAGGAGTAATAAAAAACATGATAAAGTCAACTTTTAAGTTTTTCTTTTTTGGCTTATCTGAAATAATCAACTTTTAACAAATAATGATGAGGGTGGACAGAATGAAAAAGTTGTCACCAGATATGATGGGCATTTTCATCCAACGAATGAACATAATTATTTAGTTTTGTGATAAATGTGATGGACCTTGATATTTCAGGGAAATGTCATAATTAAAAGGCTTCTCTTTGCACTTGGTAAGGCGTAATAAGGGAAAGTGCTATGCTTATCTTCAAAGTTAAAAATTGAAACTTGAAACCAAATCCAACTTGCTCCACTTTTATCACCGTCTCCATCTTTCTACTTCAACTAGATCATGGCCACTCCTTTTACTTTTTATTTGATTTTTTTAAATCTAATTTTTCATTAAGCCAGTCGGCAGGTAGATCAACTACGATGATGAAATTCTACTCACCGACAAGGAAACATGAAAGGAAAAACAAGACGGATTCTTTTCCAATATTCTTTTTTATCTTGTACTACCCTCATCCAAAATACTTTTTTGATCTTAAATATAAGACTTATTTTATAACGTAAATCACACTATAAAATGACTCCTATATTTAAGATAACAGTACATAAGGGATTTCTTTAGTCCTGAGTCAAGACCCTGATGTATTTTAATCTGTCTCACAAATTTATTATTCTTTTTCTAAGCTGTTATTTAGAGGTATTCATCAAGAGATAGTTTCTAATACAAATAACGAAAGGAATGCTTTAAAAAAAATCAACACCCAAATTTTCTAATCTTTATAAATTAATTAACTAATTTTTATATTTAAAGAGCTAGGACCGAATGGAGTATAATAAATCATATCCTGCTGGTCAAAAAAAATAATAAATCATATCCTATCAGCAGTATCTCAAAAGTCGGATCAAATATCAACTTGAAAAGGCTAACAATGCCTAGATCTAAGTTCTCGTGGTCCGGATAGTTGAACCGGTAGTCAAATTTGTGATGTGATAATTAAAATAAAAATTTGATAAGAAATAATATGGATATATAAAAAATATATGAAATAAATTTATAATAAGTCTAATTGTTAGTATAATTTTTTTTTGGCCGGCATAATTATTAGTATAATAACACTATGATATATAAAATTTTGGCTAATGTATATTTTTAATTCTTTAATTTTACATAAGATTTTATTTTGGTTTCTTAATTTTAAAAAGTAAATTTTTAGTCCTTTAATTCTAAAGCCGTAAAAAAAAAATTATGTTGCTCTCTTGAATATTGATAAAACATTATTAAATGTTAATATATTAAGTTTAATATTAAAAAAACCATAATTGTTTTAAAAAATATTATTTAAGACTAGTAATTTTAGAGTTAAAACTTAAAAGACTAAAAGTATACTTTTTAAAGTTAAGAAATCAAACTAAAGCCTTACACAAAATTAAAGAACCAAGTATATATGTTAGCCTAAAATTTTCAATAAAATAACAGTGTAACTATAAATAATTTGAAAATATATTAGGCTTTTTAAGATGGCCCGTTCCCCGCTCAGGAGATGTCATCGAAACTGCTCACGTGGTTTGCCCCCAAAAAAAAAAATTTCTTGTTCAGGTCTAATTTATTAAATAAGTAATAATTTGTTGTGGCCAAAAAAACCCAGAAACAATTTGTTAATTAGAAAAAAATTACAATTAAGAATAAGCATTTTTTAATCATTAATAATTAAATAATTTAATTATCGCGATTTCATTCAAGATAATAATAATTTTTTCTCAATTAGCCTGACATATATATATATATATTTATTTTTTGTTATAATTTAATAGCTTAATACTTATCAATATAAAATATAATATTTATAATACGTCCCATCATTAATATCTTTTTTAATCATAATTTAATAATGACTTGAATAGAATATTTACTATATGAAGCGCTTTATTTTTCGTTAATTACGTGAAATGTAAATACTATGTGTTATTGAAGGTCAGAAATACCTTTTTTTCTTTGCCAGAAAGGTCAAAAACACTATTGGTTGTTAGGATGATTTTTTTTTACTACCTCTTAAATCACCTATTTTTTAATTCAATTTTTATTATTTATATCTATTAATTTCTTAGTTATCAATATCTTTCCATTGAAAATAAGAATAAATCGACAAATAAAAATTTAAGGACAATTATCCTGTTATCCAAACTCTTTCCTCGCTGCGAAGGCATTTTATATTTGCCGGCAAAAATTATACTATATGTTATTAAAAATTCAAGCGGACTTATAATTTTTATCGATCAAACTTATCACCATCTTGGTTTTATCCCTCAACTTTTTAAATATTTTTTAAGTTTTTTATCTAAAATATTATTTCTTATAATTTAATAAAAAATAGTCTATTTTGAGAAGCTAAAATAGATAATTTTAAATTTGAGGACCAAAATCAAAATAATTTATAAAAAGTTATATTAACCTTATAAATTTAATTTTTAATATTATGATAATTGATAATTGATAATTGATACTAATAATAATAACAAGCAATGCTGGCGAGGCATGCCGGTTTTTGGATAACGTGTCAGGTTTTTATTGGCAAGCATGGTGGGCCACGAGCAGATATAAAGACAACTATTTTCGGTCCCCTCTCTGATCCGGAGACACAAAAGCACAGTAGATTCTGCAGATACGATTTCCCGTCCTCACAACCTCCGATCTGATTGGTGGCGGTATTGTTCTTTCCCCCGCTACCTAGAGCACACAAATTATCAGACTGTCCATCATTGCGATGTTGACGTTTCCCTCCCAAAGCTAGAGATACAAAAAAAGTTACTGTCCCAATTGGCTCCTCTGCTCAAATCTGGGCATACAGTTTGCTGATTTTTCGTCTCTGTTCTCATCTCAAATTGGTTGGTCAGAGATGACTTCAAAATTTGCAAAACACGGCTCTTTCAGGCACAGTTTCGCTGAGAAGAAGGAGAGGCTGTTGTCTATGAAGGGTGGGTATTCCCAGATTAAAATCAATGTATACGAATCTGATGAAGAGACTCCGACGAGGTGTGGCTGCTCCTACCGAGCTCTCTCCGATGGACTTAGCAGCGGCTGGAAGAGAGTACGCGGCGTTGCTGTTAAGGCCTGGGAGATGGGCCATTCTGATCCCAGGAAGGTTATCTTCGCTGCCAAAATGGGTCTTGCTTTGATGCTTATTTCCCTCTTAATTTTCTTGAAAGAGCCCTTCAGGGGAATGAGTCGCTATTCCGTCTGGGCCATACTAACTGTCGTGGTTGTCTTTGAATTCAGTATAGGTACGCTTGTTTTTAAAATCTTCCCGAATCTGGGGCTTCTGTTTTGTTTTTTTAAACTTCTTTTTGAGATCCTATTAAAGTTGTCTCCATTTTTCTCCGCTTGCCTGGCGCAAATCCCGGGAATTTGCCCTTTCGCTTGGTTACTGCATAAGGCTTGTCCTTTCACTCACCTAATGGCATGTTTATTGACTAGTAAGTACAGTGGGGGCTGTGTGGGGGCTTTAGTCAAGTCTCCTTCCGTGGGAACATGTCTGAGTTTGAAGAAAGTCAATTAATTGTTAATAATGACTTGAACTGGGAAATTGGGGATGGGAAATGTCGTGTATTTCTTCGTATTGGATGTTTAATAAAATAGTTGACCAAGTGGACTTCAAGTCAACAACTTTTGCCACCAACTTTACTAGTTCCATAATCCTGCCAGCTAATGCCTCTTCTTTTTGATAAATCCACGGGTAAATCATCTTGTGCTGCATGCTCCAAAGCCACTTTAGTTTCAGTTGTCTTTACTTTTGTTCATGTATTCGACTTGACGAAACTGGTTTAATTATATCAATGTTACTGGTATTAATTATATCCATATTTTCCTGTAATGACTTGGTCTTTAATCATGTTTCATTATTTTACCATAGAATAAATTTTTTGAGTACCTGTGGTGAATTTTATCTTTTTCATGCTCTTCTTGTAGTCAACCCAGGCTCATGTATCAACCTTATAGTTAATTAAAATGAAATTCTACAGGGGCAACTCTTAGCAAAGGGTTTAACAGAGGACTGGGGACTTTGTCAGCTGGGGGACTAGCTTGGGGAACGGCAGCGTTATCAGCATTAGCTGGACCATGGGAAGAATTTATAATTATCGTCAGCATCTTCACTGCAGGTCTTGATTTTGCTCACTGGGTTCCTATTTTGTTGGTTTATTCTCTTTTTTTCCTTGATCTCTTTGGCTTATGCGGAGTTTTCTGACAAGTGCTATGCGTTGTTAGGGTTTTGTGCCACCTATGCAAAACAATACCCAACATTGAAACCTTATGAATATGGATTCCGTGTGTTCTTGATCACATACTGTTTCATCACTGTATCTGGATATCACACTGGGGAATTTATCCAAACAGCTATAAGTAGATTTTTGCTCATTGCCCTTGGCGCTGGTGTTTCAATGGGGGTAAATATGTGCATATATCCAATCTGGGCTGGTGAGGATCTGCATAATCTGGTGGCCAAAAATTTTTTTGGTGTTGCAACATCTTTGGAAGGTTGTCTACAACATTTTCCTTATTATCACGCTGACAGCGTATAGATTTATTTCTCAGCATCATTGCCTTGATTGAATAACTTTGTTGAACTTATTTTCAGGAGTTGTGAAGAACTACCTTAATTGTATTGAATATAAGAGGGTTCCTTCAAAAATTCTGACCTACCAGGCAGCTGATGACCCGGTTTATAGTGGTTACAGATCAGCTGTTGAATCTACCAGCCAAGAGGATGCATTGGTAGCATCAATGTCATTTTTCTACTCATTTTAACAATAAATAGTTATATCAATTCTCTTCTGACTCACTGTTGCATGCATGCTGTTGAAGGTGGGTTTTGCTGTATGGGAGCCACCTCATGGTCATTACAAGATGTTTAGATATCCATGGAAGAATTATGTGAAAGTTAGTGGAGCACTAAGGCATTGCGCATTTATGGTTATGGCTATGCATGGATGTATACTTTCTGAAATACAGGTACTTCTTTTGTATATAAATTTTTTCGGTGGATTATCTAATGGAGTGTATATGTATTAAATTTTCGTCTTGATATGTAGGCTCCAGCTGAGAAAAGACAAGTTTTCCGTAGTGAGCTTCAGAGGGTGGGCAGTGAAGGCGCCAAGGTGTTGCATGAACTTGGAAACAAAGTTAAAAAGATGGAGAAACTAGGTCAGGTAGACATTCTGTATGAAGTACATGAGGCGGCAGAAGAATTGCAAATGAAGATTGACAAAAAATCCTACCTTCTCGTAAATTCAGAGCGCTGGGAAATTGGAAACCGGCCAAGAGAAGAGGCTGAACCCCGAGACCTCTTGGATGTGGATGAAGAAAGGAAGTTTCTGGAGTACAAGTCTCTCAGTGAAGCTGTCCTTGATCTCAGATCAGTTCAAGTTTCAGAAAGTTGGGATGGCCATATTGCTCCTAATGGTAACTCTGCTGTGCCTCCTGCAGTTGTTGCCACGGAAACCATGTTCAAGAAGCAGATATCTTGGCCTCCTCCTATATCCTTTAAAAAAGATGCAGTGACCGAAGAGGAAGGATCAAACACCTATGAAAGTGCTAGTTCACTGACTCTAGCCACTTTTACTTCCCTTCTGATTGAATTTGTTGCAAGGCTCCAGAACCTTGTCGATTCATTTGACGAATTGAGTGAGAAAGCAAACTTTAAGGACCCGCTCGAGCAGCAAATACCTGTTGCATCTTCTGGTTTTTGGTCCCGATTGTGCAATTGCATGAGATTTAAAGACTGAGATAGAAGCTTTGACAACCCAATAATCCTTCCTTACAGCCCCCTAAATGTGGGACCCTGAAAAAATGGGATACGATATTTGGTTACGAGCAATGTATCCCACATTAAAGAAATGTTCTATGATCCGATCCCTAGGTGTCTGCATTTTGTTTACTCGGTTCAAAGCCTCAAAATCAAATGACCAGAGTGAATCTGTAGCCAAAGGTAAAATCGGGAGAACATATGGGAGTCCAATGATATATGCTCTGCTGAGGCCATCAGAGCTTGTTCTCAATCTTAGCTCGGTTTAGGATTGAACTATTTTTCTTAGCTATGCCAGGCCAATTCACAGCTGCTGTTAAATGAGATAGTTAGCTGCCTCATGCTCATCGCTGTAGCTGTAAAATGGGTAATCACCTAATGGTAGGTGACTATATATTTTTGTCAGTTTTGGCAACTAACTATGGAGAGTTAAACCACTTGTGAAGTCGGAATCTGATGAGAACTTGTTTTAAACTTCATTGTCATTCGTAGATCGTAGATGAATGGTACCATTTCTTATTATTCCTGCCACTGAATATGTTGCGGTATCACCACATGGCACTGCATGTCTGGATTTTACTTGTCAGCTTGAGCTGAGGGGGGATCACTCCATTATTTATTTCATGAAATTTACGTATCTTGTACGTTGGCTTAATATATTGTCCTCTGAATGTCCTTGTCTTTTAGTTTAGCTGCATGGGCTTGAGTAATCTAGGATTTTGTATGGAATGACTTATAAATAGCTTGATAATAATTTACGAGATAAGTATGTGAAAGAAATTTTGTCTCAGTTTATATAAAAGTATTTATAAGCATTTATTCATCACATATCCGAATAGGTCCTAAATTGGGAATCAGATTCTCTCCACTACCCTTCCCATCCTCTTTCCCTCCACTACCATCTTTTTTTCTTCACAACCATTGGATCAAAACTCCAATGGTTCTATAAATTTAAACTGTTAAAATCTAATCTGAACAGTTCATAACTGTTATTATAGAGCAAATTTTTTTTAATTTTTTTTATTACAATTATAAACTGTTCAGACCAGATTTTAACAGTTTAAATTTATTTATTTATTTTTTTAATAATATTATTTTTATAAGATGTTAAATCTGGACCATTGAAATTTTAATCTAATGGTTGTGAAGAGAAAAGAAGGGTAGTGGAGGGGAAGAGGATGGGAAGGAAGTGGAGAGAATCCAAGTCCCCTAAATTGTTATCAAGCACGATTTCACAAACACTTCAAGGTTAACCAGGTATGAACTCGATAACATTCTAACCTCTAGTCATTTATACATAAAAAGATTGTATAATGAAAATTTGGGGGATTATAAACATCAATATGTGCATTGCAAGAAACATCACATGGAATGTAGGTACCTCATGTTCCCTTCAATTATTGTTATGTAACATTTTTTTTATTACTTTCACCGGAATAAAGGTAAGATTGTTGTTAAGTCGGTATATATGAACAAGGTTTACAACACTTCGCCTATACTGAAATCATGCTGTAATGAGGAGAAGTCAAATGAGAAAGAAAGCATTTAATATTGAAAATGAACACTATTGAAAAACTATAATAAATACTTCTTCTAGAGCCTTATAATAAAAGCCAAGTATCCTTTTCAAAAGGTTTTCTAAAAAGTTAAAAGCTACAGAGGACTGAAGGCAGTACTTGAATTAATGCAGGTCCCGCTGTGGGGTCAAACTAAGTACTAGCCTCTAGGATTAAGCCACTTGAATGCCTCAACCCAACATTAATTTTTTTTGGTGAATAATTTTTCCCCAACTCAACTTTTATGCCTTTGGACCTTCCGCATTCACGGTGCCAACCATAAATAAGGTAACACTATTTAGGGAGACGAGGGCCATGGTATTTCCTCTCTATTTATTTATCTTCATTTGGATTTTTTTTTGGTCTTCTAGTAGATGTCTTGTTCTTTCAAGCCAAAAAAAAAGAGTAGATGTCTTGTTCCAAATTCAAGATATAATTATAACTTGTTCTCAATAACACTCTTATTAAATACTCTTTCAATCTTATTTACAAGACCAAAAATTTTTTATTAAAGTACTATTTATGAGGAATGTACTTGAGCTGTTCTTATGAATTTAGCTATTTACCTCTTATTAAATGCTGGTAGATGTTATTAAAATAAGGCAAAGTATAAGTATTTAATTAGGATAAAGCTGAAAACTTATTAAATTTTAAGATTAATGAGTTTTAAGTTTTTTTTTTTCGTTATGATAAAATATGCTAAAAGTGATCTATAAATAAATCATAAGAAAAGATAATATTTAATAGAAATATCTAAGATTTAAAACAGCAGGATACTAAATAATACTATAGGAGAATGTGGTACATAGATTGTTCTTTCTCCTTGATATACATATTATTTTATGAGAACAAGTAAATAGCGATGGGTGAAGTATTTTTTAATCTCTCTTGTATTTATGATCACCCAACCTTTGAAAAACATGTTTTTGCAAAATTTTCCTTGAAGAATCAGACTTTTAGGTCCCATTTGATGCAAAACATTGAAAACAAAAAGTAAAGACTGAGATTCAGAAAATTTATTAAAAGAACATTCAGCATGAGAGATTGTTTATTATATGGGATTAGATAAATTCATCTATGTGAGATTGAGAGATATTATGGAAGAAGGTGGTATTCCGCAATTCGGCTTCTATGATTTTATCTAATCCCATAAAATAAATAATTATTCATACTAAATACTTTTTTAATTATTTTTCTCAGTTGCAATTTAAGTTTCTATTCTTTATTTTTAATGTTTTGTATCAAACAGAAGCTTAGTGTTTTAGGATTTCTAATTGAATTCACCTTAATCACTGAAATGCAAAGACTCTGGTTAATCCTTCGGCAGAAATTTCAGTTGAAGGAGCTGGACGACGCAAACAAAAATGTAAGACAAGGGGTTTGCAGTAACATTGGCAGAAAAAGGGGGCTGGTGGCAAACTGCTTTATTGCAAAGGACAAAATTGCAAAGACCCTGAATAATAGGCCTAAAGCAGTGGGGGTTCGTTTGTACGGTCGTACAGGGGAATGAGGCCATACGAGGAGGCAGTTTGGTAAAAAATAAACAAAATAAAATGAGAAATTCTCCATAAATAATTTTCTCTCCTTCCCACAACAACTGATCCGCGGTATTTTCATTTGTAACCACCGTCTCTTATTAGATCCAGTTCCCAGTTCCAGCAAACAAGCCCATCAGGTGCAACACTAAAACCGTTCTCTTTCTCTCGCTTTTTAAGCTTACCATTGGACTAGTTCTTCCTCTGCTTCCTCTGTTTCTCTCATTGGTGTCACATAATTTGGTTTTCCGTCTTTTCTTTCGTTTTCCTGGTAAACGGGAGTTTCTTTACGTTGCCTGTTCTCGTTTGATTATAATATTCGCTGGATTGGTGGCTATTGCTTGCGATCAAGAGGTAGATTAATGATTTCGGAACCCCTTGCTGTTTATGAGAAATGATTTTTTCTTGCAAGCATTTGATTGCTAAGAATTTAAAGAAGAAATGTGAAGAAAAAAATTGCATCTTTCTGAGGGAGGTGAACGATCAATTAATAGCAAGCCAAGTGATTACTTCACACTTCGTAAAATGAATCATTACTTTTCATGAGTGAGCATTAAATGAACTGTTTAATAATCTTCTTTTGTTTGCAGTTTTAAGGATATTAGGAGACAAGATGGCTACAATAGAAGAACCTCTGTATCCCGTAGCGGTTTTAATTGATGAGCTGAAGAGCGATGATATCCAGCGTAGGCTAAACTCGATCCGCAAACTTTCCACAGTTGCACGTGTACTTGGGGAGGAAAGGACCAGGAAGGAATTGATTCCCTTTCTCAGTGAGAGCAATGACGATGATGATGAGGTGCTTCTAGCGATGGCAGAGGAGTTGGGGGCTTTTATCCCTTATGTTGGAGGCGTAGAACATGCCAATGTGCTACTGCCTCCATTAGAAGCTCTCTGCTCGGTTGAGGAAACTTGCGTGAGGGACAAAGCAGTGGAGTCACTATGTAGAATTGGAGCTCGAATGAGAGAAAAAGACTTGGTCGAGTACTTTAATCCTCTGGTTAAGGTACAAGGTTGCACTACCTCTTTCTGCTTCTTCTTCTTCTTCTTCTCAATTAATTTTTACTGAAAAGAACTTATTGACAAGAAGAGGTAACAGTACAAAGTTGGTCAATAATCTACTTATTGACAAGAAGGCACAATATTACAAAGTTGGTCAATAATTTTTGAATGATTGTTCTTTTTTTAATTTCTTAGCTTGGATTGCCTAGGAAATGCATCAGCTCTCTATTGGTGCTTAAAAACCAAGTAATGCGGGCCACAACTCCTGGTGCCATATTGATTTAGGTTGGAGGACCTGACTCAAGGGACCAGTGGTGAAAGATTACGTTAAGTTTCATTCATGGTATCTTTGCCTGGGTTGTCATACTTTGAGGCTAGTCACACTCTTATGGGTTTTATATTGAATACTACATTCTAATTTCTCAAAAATATATATGCTGATGAGCTGTTGATTTCTTTGCTTATATCTAATTTCTCAAGTGTTGGTAGAACACATAAAGTGCCACAAACTATAGGCTTCAGGTTCAGAGTGTATATTTACTTCTATATTATTGTTTGATGTTACTACCATATGTGCGTCGATTGTCTTCCTTTTCAAAATTTTCATCTTCCTTGTTGATATAATGTACCTGACTGTAGTTAGAGTGAAAGTGCACTAACCATTCACTTGGATCCAACATGTAGAGGCTGGCTGCTGGTGAGTGGTTCACAGCGCGAGTTTCCTCATGTGGTTTGTTTCATATGGCTTACCCTAGTGCACCGGAGGCCTTAAAAACGGAGCTGAGAACTATGTACGGTCAGCTGTGTCAAGATGATATGCCAATGGTTAGGAGATCTGCTGCAACAAACCTGGGAAAATTTGCTGCCACTGTTGAAGTTACTTATTTGAAAACCAATATCATGCCCATGTTTGAGGATCTAACACAAGATGGTATGTCAAATTTATGTACTATTTCTAGCTTTAACTGTGATAGATAAGAGAGGGAAGGGGGGCTGAAAATAGGAAATATGAAAAGAATATGCAGTTCTACATATGCTGTGTTAGTCAACCTAGCACGGGATAAATGAAAAGTTGAGTTTGTCATGCTTATGCATGTGCAGAATCTGTTATTATTTTTGAACATGCACCGCTGGATGAGATTTAAATTAATGATTTCTTTTTCTTTCAGAACAAGATTCTGTTCGGTTACTTGCTGTTGAAGGCTGTTCAGCTCTTGGGAAATTGGTGGACCCTCAAGATTGTGTGACACTTATCCTTCCTATCATTGTTAATTTCTCCCAGGTATATTGAGCATTTACATATATTTTGGAAGTTGTGGATTCTCTGGTTTGGTTTTCCAAGAAAGAAGCCACTTCACCCTCCCCTGGTCTCATTTTGGAAATTCATGAGGATGGAAATATTTTTTACTAGTGAGAGTGATTTTCAGGGTGAGCAAAAAGTCAAGTAGTCATAAATAACAGTTAAAATGTGGGATGCTAGTCTGTATAGGTTCTGTGATTTCTGTTTTTTCTTTATATTTAGTCAGTTGTCATGTTCCAAGCTCATACTCCCACCAGCTTTCCACTTTGAGAATTTTTTCCTGGTTATTCTCAATAATGAGATAATCATGGAGATGGATTAAATGGAATTTTTTCACCAGGATAAGTCATGGCGCGTTCGTTACATGGTTGCTAATCAACTATATGAGCTCTGTGAAGCTGTTGGTCCTGAGCCCACCAGGTAGCCTTTCCTAACTGTTAAATGATTTTATTGTTTTCGATTTGTGCGCTTTCTTTTTTTTGCCTTCTGCTGCTATCTGACAATCTGTTTGGGAAATGATGATATTTTTAGATATGCATTCTTCAATCAGCCAAAAAAAAAAAAACTGGGATTTATGAAAGAATGTATGTAAATTGTGACAAATCTAATTTGACCGTATGTGATGATGGTAATTCTTAGGTCAGACTTGCTTCCTGCGTATGTTCGGCTACTGCGTGATCATGAGGCTGAAGTACGTATTGCTGCTGCTGGAAAAGTTACAAAGTTTTCTCGCATGTTAAATCCAGAACTAGCCATCCAGCATATTCTACCATGTGTGAAGGTAAACATTCCTAAAGAAATCTTTAAATGTGTAGAAGTTATATGTTGACATTTTGTAGATTTGGTCTGTTATGATGTCTAAATATATTTACAACTGATCAAGTTTTCCTGCCATAGGAGTTATCAACTGATTCATCTCAACATGTTCGCTCTGCATTGGCTTCAGTTATAATGGGAATGGCTCCAGTATTAGGGAAGGTAGGGATCTCTCTCTAGTTTCCAACATTAAGTAAACTATTAGGAGCTTTATACATTGTTCTTAAATATTTTGTGTAGAGGAAAAGCTAGCATAAGGCTATTTTAACTTCTAAGGATCCGCAATCGAACATATATATTTAGTCTTTCCAGGAATGGTGATGACATTGATGTATATGCGAGATGGTGCAGTAGGTTCATCTTGTAATGGATCAACTTTAAGACTTTATATATTTTAGCATCATATGAAATATATTACTCAGTGAAATAGATGTACTAGGCAGTTTACTTGAATCAAGATGGGAGTATGAATTTTGAAGCACGTCGGCTATCTCTATTGTAAACGAAACAGAAAAACAAAGAAAGATTGACAAGGTTGAGCTTACTTGAATCAAGATGCTAGTCCAATGTGAATTCTGTTGTACTTGGATAGATTATATATATATATATATTTGATGTCTCATTTAGTTACTATGCTCATGTACTGATTGTTCCTATGTCATTGCCTATTTTCTTTTGCTTTACCTCATGGAACAATTCCCTTCATTTGTATGTCTTTTTACATTTACTTTATTCCTGGGCGGGTTGCAGGATGCAACAATTGAGCAGCTTCTGCCAATTTTCCTTTCACTTTTGAAAGATGAGTTTCCTGATGTCAGGCTGAACATTATCAGCAAGCTCGACCAAGTAAATCAGGTTTGCAGCTTCAAACGTGAATATCTCTAAATTGGTGATTTAAGTTGAAAACTTTTACTTTTTGTTTTTTTAGTTATTGATCTCCTCTATTAAGCTTTGTAAGTTCCATGTTGATGCAGGTAATTGGCATTGATCTATTATCTCAGTCTTTATTACCAGCTATTGTTGAGCTAGCCGAGGATCGTCACTGGAGAGTTCGACTCGCAATCATAGAATATATACCTTTATTGGCAAGTCAGTTGGGTGTAGATTTTTTTGATGACAAGCTTGGAGCACTTTGCATGCAATGGCTGAAGGACAAGGTTTACAAGACATTTAAATTAAGTTCTACTTTCAAATCCATGGTGCTTTCATTTTTGAAGTGCATATTATTGACCTTAACAAATGACTGAAAGACTTGCTTCGTGCTAATGCTGTTAATTGTAATCTATAGCCTTCACTGCTTTAAACTGTTAAGCTTCTGTGCTTTCTTTATCATCTTTTACTATTTATTAATTCTTAGTGGATTGGCTTCTTTTTAATGTGTGCGTATATAGTTTTAATGCATTAGCAGTGTGAGTTAACTTCTTTTGCAGCAAATTTTAAAAAAAAAGAGGGTTTTCTGTAATGCATGTGTGCGCATTTTTTTAATAAAATTTTTAGACTAGATAGCTAAAACAAGAATTGTTCTTCGAATCAAATGATAGTCATTTATAGTTTACAAGATGCATTTTGTGTTGTTTGCATTTTGTTGGTGTAGTCTGCAAAGGAATTGAATTTGAAAACGAACCTGATTTTGAAGATCTAAAGCAAGTTATGTGTTTGATGAAAGGTTTATAAAATTTTCCATTTGCCAAAATTTCAGGCTTATTTTCTTGTCAGGAAGCTGACAATTTGGTGTATTTTTTAATTTAGGGTCAATGAATTATGCTGACTTCTTCAGCTTTTTTCATTGTTTTAGGTCTACTCAATTCGTGATGCGGCTGCTAATAACGTGAAACGCTTGGCAGAAGAATTTGGACCAGATTGGGCAATGCAGCATATAATTCCTCAGGTTCATTCTGTGTTTCTGCTTTCTTTTTATTACTTGATTAATGTTGTTCTGTTTTCCCTTCTGTTACTTGATTTGTTGATATGCATTAAGATGATGTTGACAAAATTCTGCCATCTGATTTATGAAATAAGCCCCCTTTAGTACAGTCAACGTTTTATTTCACCCTGCACTCCGCTGGTTTGGTGTTGTTTTGCTTGTGACAAAGTTCTTTCTAGGAAACTGATGTCTTAAAATTTTCTTCATGTTTAGTGAACACTAACGCCCTGTTTATTTGATTCCACCCTCACTTTCACTTCCTCTCTCCCCTTCTTACGTACCAAATGGGGCCTATGGTTTCTTAAAGATACTATAAATGGTTAGGTTGAACATATTTGGCCTGGTATTCATCCAATAACGATTTTGTTGCAGGTTTTGGAGATGATAAACGATCCAAACTATCTTTATCGAATGACCGTTCTTCATGCAATCTCTCTGTTAGCTCCTGTTCTGGGCTCAGAGATTGCTTCTTCAAAACTGCTCCCTGTAGTCATAGACGCATCAAAAGACAGGTAATATTGATGAGCCCTCAACCTCATGTCTTCATCAGACTCATTGCTGATAGTTGGCCTTGCAGGGTGCCCAACATCAAATTCAATGTAGCTAAAGTTCTTCAGTCCATCATTCCAGTTGTAGCTCAGTCTGTAAGTAGCTGTGATTTAAGCCTTTTCATCTATAATGTACTTCAAACTTAAATTTTGAATATGCAATTGCAACATGCTACTGATCAAAACTATAATAACTTGGAAATTATTCCAACGTAAATTTGGTGATATTAAGAAATTTATGGCGGATTGAATTCCTTTCTTGCTAACAAGATCAGACTTGTGACTTGCTGAATTGGCTAAACTTATAATAAACTAGGCAGGTAGAAGCTAATTTAAATATTGGATAAATGTATCTTGGACAACACTTATTTTTGCATATAGGTATAGCTGATGCCAAATCTTTAATTATCAATCTTTCACAAGTTATTGTAGATAGCATCAATCAGTGGTGTTTATGCCTACCGCTACTGATTCCTATTCCTTAGACTCCACTTCCTTTTCTTTTGGATACGAGCCCCATTCTTTTTACCTACTCTCCCCAACCCGTTTAATTCATTTTTTCATTCATGCTTTTTAACACATGGAAGTGATGCATATTTATTTTAATTTCTCATATTCCAAATACCATTCAAACAATGAAGGTGGTTGAGAAGGCTATCCGTCCCTGTTTGGCTGAACTCAGTGAGGATCCTGATGTTGATGTTAGGTTCTTTGCCACCCAAGCACTACAATCTAACCATGAAGTCGGAAAGCCCAGCTAGATCAATCTGATTATTGTTATCAGTTCTTTCCCCTTGTTATCTTCCCTGTTTCCTTTGTTATTGGAATCAAGAAAACTTGCATATTTTTCTGTAGCTCACATTATTGCTGCTGAGGCTCTGTTTTAATCATTTCCCCCTTGAAATTTATAGCAGTTTCTTCTTTGTAGCATTGTAAAGTTGTCCAGAAGTGGATGGATTTTGATGTATACATTAAAATGTCAGAGTATATATGAAAATCTAAATATCAAAATAAGATGAGCATGTTTTGTACGTACATGCCAGATTCACCATGATGTGTCATTGGCTGCAATAATCGAATAATCGATTCAGTTTCCTGGGTGTTTTTTTTGGGGCTCTTTTTCTTAGGCCAACCAGTTTTTCCTGAGTCATTTGATAGCTTTGTAGGTCAGTTATAAGAGCCTTACTTGTAAATCAATTTGTAAAATTTGAAGAATGAATATAAAAAATTACGCAAATTTAGTTGCAAGTCTATGAGGTTGACTTGTAAATCTAAGAAATTGATTTATAAATATTCAACTACTTATATTTTAAGAAGTTGGCTCGTAAATTTTAGAAATTTATTTATAGATCTAAAAAATAAGTGTGAATATTAAAATATTGATATTTTAATAAAAATATTTAAAGAAAGGTATCTTCTTTAACTGTTCACTGGTCAATGCTAGCCAGGCAGTAGTCAACAGTCAGTGTCCCTGATGGTAATCGGGTGTGTGGTTAATTTCCCTGGTGTATGTGTTGTTATACATGCAAATTTGAGGATGGCAAAGAAAATAAAACGGTAAGAAATTTGAGAATATTTTAACAGATTTGTTTATATTTATTTATAATGAGTCTGTTGTTTAAAAGTGATATATAATCTTTTATTCATTTCCAAAACCCGACAATTTTTGTATCTCCTCCCTTCTAGCCGCCCCGCCAAAAAAAAAAAACACTCCAACTGTCGGTGCGATTTGTCAGTTTCACAGATGAAATCATGAAATAACGTATTTAAAAAATCTTCATCATTTGACAGATTGTAATCTTTTTTATCTTGACAGTGGTTCTAAATATAAGACTTATTTTATAACGTAAAACCCGAAACTATGCCACGTGTTGTGGATGAAACATGGAAGTAAATAACGGTTACATTTTGGCGGAGAGGAGGGAGCCAAAACAGAGGCGCGAAAGGGAGAGCAACTTGTTTCCTCCAAATACCCTGGCCAACATTGAATGTGTTCCCTCCAAATTCAAAATCATAAGGTCAATATGAACATAGCTTCTATTGAAGCACTGACTCTAATTAAGAAGGAGCATTTGAAAAATTATCTTTCGATAAATATAAATTAGATCAGATAGATTTTGGTCCATAATTAGACACATAATTAATTACTGTATACCGACACGTTTTCAGATTATTTAAGACATTGGCATTAGGATGACTGATTTTGTCAGCAAGATGAAAACAATTTATCATCTACTAACATGGATAGCTACCTCAATGATCTCAATCATCTATTTTCTTGACAATATATATATCGGACTAATGGTAGCACTATTTATCATTCGAGTATATTTTTTTAAAATTAAAATGACAGTTACTACTTACTGATGCTTTGGGATTACAAAGCGGAAATAAAAGATAATGTTTACTTCCAGAAAAACTTATATTCCCTCTGGTCCAATATATAAGCTTCACTTTTAAAAGTGTCTGGTCCAAAATATAAGTTTTATTTTTAAGTTTGTCTGAACATTTATTGTTTTTTTTCTTCTTATTTTGCCCTTAGTTGACTATAATTAATATTCTCTCTCTCATTAATATTATCCACATATATTCTTTTTCATCATTTTTTTATTCATTATCTCTCTCATTTGCTCTCTTAGTAAATAAGGGTAAATTTAGAAAAAAATAATAAATTTCTGACCTATTTATTATTTTTAACTAATTTTAACTGTTAGCTCGTTAAACTTAATTCGGTTGTGGACTATACTACTACCTCTGGTTTTTAATATACAAGCTAGTTAAAAATTAAATTTGGTTCTAAATGTAAGACTTTAATCAACTTTATCTTTTAAATTCGTAATTCATTTTCTAAAGTATTCTTATTAATTACACATGTTAAAAAATTTTCATTCAAGGGTAGTTATGATTAAAATGAGTAATTAAAAAAAAATTAACTTATATTTGTTACAAATAACTAACTTAACTAGTTTTTTTTAATCTATTTAAATCAGTTAAATAGCTTTACAAACGATAGGTAGTATTAGATTACAAAAACAATGACTTATCCATATATTTTACAAAAGGCTAGACGCAATTATAAAGTGTCGTACCGTTTTGAATAATAAATAAATAAATAATATAAATATTTTCTCGGCATGTTCAGTTTATGCTATTAGTTTCAAAGGAGAATTGCAATAAAGTTCCAATAAAAAATAATTGCAAAATAAACTTTAAAAGTTATTATTTCTTATTTTAAAACTTGTGATTACAAGTTACTTAGATTATTATTAAAAAAATTTTATAATTATTTTTTTATTTGAGACTTTATTATAATTTTCCGTAGTTTCAAGAGTCTAAACCAATATGAACACAGAACATGCTCCCAAAATCATATTGGCACATACTCCTCCTGAGTCTCATGGTAGTTTTAAGATAGAACTAGAAGATTTTTCTCAATCCTATTTATGAGTTATTTTATTAAATTTTTAGTACAAATATACTATTTTGTCTTTTATTTAATGTAATACAGGTAATTATTTTTTTGTTGAAAAGTGTATATATTAAATAAGAATAAATCTAAAAAGTTATTATATTTTAAAGAAGAATTAATGTATTTTAAGGTTTTTTTTACCTGTGTAAAATATATTAAAAATGCTTTATAAATAAGGCTGAAGGAGTATATTGCACTGCAGCAGTATTTGACTTCTCCCACAGCTCAAAAATTGTTGTTGACCACCAAATGATATATTTCAGTCCTTAATATAAAAAATAGTTCATCAATTTGAATAAATTAAAAAAATTAGTTAAGTTAGTTATTTATAATAAATATGTGCTGTCTTTTCTAATATACTCTTATTAATTATATATATTAGTTAGAATTATTATTTTATAAAACCTTTAATATGTAAACTACTATAAAGACTACCTTAAAAAAAAAATAAATTAAAAAATAAAGTATATTAAGGTTTTATATTTAGGATGAAATTAATTTTTATATAAGTAGTTTTTTTTCCTTTTCTAATTAAAAAACCCACTTTACAGTAAACTTTGCCTCTCCAGCAAGTACTTTTTCATTCACTCGAGTCTAATCGGATGATGCTGACTCTACAAATGTTGATGGCTCATAGCCTTATCGCTCATCTTTTCCATTCAGTATGAAATGAACAAGATGCGTCTGTTCTGAACAATACCTCTTGAAATTTGATTTCGGTATGTGAATTTTATACATTTCTATAGCAGTATTTACGTGCTGAGATGTAATCATCGTAACCAAACCAAACACAACAACAATTGAATGTACTGAGACAGGCACAAGCAGATTTCAACTTGGTAGGACCACCTTATACGGATTAGTCTCATCACTTTTTCCCCCAGTCACTCTTTACCAATTCTATTCTTCTCTTCAGACCCATCCCTTTTTCTGTTTTACTCCAACACCTGTGTTTCTTGTTCTTCCTCATGGCATCTTCTTCTCAGTTTTCTGGTGCAAAGTATGACGTATTTATCAGCTTTAGAGGCTCAGACATACGCCATGGTTTTCTTAGCCATTTGAGAAAGGAATTGCGGCAGAAACAAATTGAAGCCCATGTGGATGACAGACTCGAAAGAGAAGATAAAATGTCACCTGCACTTGGAAGAGCGATTAGAGAATCACTTATCTCACTAATCATATTTTCAAAGGATTATGCTTCATCAAAGCGGTGCTTAGACGAGCTGGTGCAGATTATTGAGTGCAGGGACAACCAGAACCAGATTGTAATTCCTGTTTTCTATAACACAGATCCCTCAGACGTGAGGCATCAAAAAGGTTCTTATGGAGACGCTTTAGCCAAACATGATGAGTATTACAAGGAAAAGGTGCCAATTTGGAGATCATCTCTGAATAAAACTGCTAACTTATCTGGGTTTCACTATTTATCCAACCATGCGTAAGTTCTTTTTCCCCTCAACACTTTTCTTGATTAAATAGAGATATAATTTTACTTTCATAATCTTTTTATTTTCCTGTGAGTATAGGGATGAGGCTGAGCTTATAGAAGATATTGCCAAATGTTTGTCAACAAGGTTGAATCTTATGTACCAAAGTGACTTTACAGATCTTGTTGGAATTCATGAAAGAATTGCAGATTTAGAATCACTAATGAACCAAGGATCAGAAGATGTTCGTGTCATTGGAATTTGGGGTATGGGCGGTATCGGTAAGACAACTATTGCCGCTGTAATATTTAACCGATTTTGTTCCGAATTTGAAGGACATTGTTTTTTGGCCAATGTGAGAGAAGAATCAAAGAATCATGGAATCATTTGTTTGAAGAATAAAATGTTCTCTAAACTACTCAAGGAAAATGATTTACATATCGGTACACCAAATGGAATACCCCCTTGTGTCAAGAGAAGGCTTCTTCGAAAAAGGGTTCTTGTTGTTCTTGATGACATTAGTGATTCGGATCAACTAGATAATTTAGTGGGAGCACTTAACTGCTTTGGACTTGGGAGTAGAATCATTATAACAACTAGAGATAAGCAAGTGCTAGCTAAAAATGTTGATAAAATATACGAAGTTAAGCCTTTGATTCGTGATGATGCTGTTCGACTTTTTATGTTGAATGCCTTTGAGAATAATGATGTGGAAATGGGGTGGATTGAATTGTCAAGGAAGTTTATTAGTTATGCTAAAGGCATTCCGTTGGCTCTGAAAGTCTTAGGTTCCTTCCTTTATGGTAAAAGCAGGCAAGAATGGGAAAGCCAACTTGAGAAGCTCAGCAAAATGCCAAATGCAAAAATTCAAGATGTGATGAGACTGGGTTATGATGATCTAGATAGAGAAGAGAAGAACATTTTCTTATATATTGCATGTTTTCTCAAAGGATATGAATCACAACAGATAATTGTTTTGCTTAATTCTTGTGGTTTCTCAACCATTATTGGGTTAAGGGTCCTTCGAGACAAAGCTCTTATAACTGAAGTATCAAACTCCAGAAAATCAATAATATCTATGCATGATTTGATCCAAGAGATGGGTCGGGAAATTGTTGGTGAAGAATCTATTGACAATCCTGGAAAACGTAGTCGATTATGGGATGCTAATGATATTTATCAAGTATTAGCACATAACACGGTGAGAGTCGTGACTGTATAATTATATATTTATATTCGTTCGTTATTTATTACCTTTTTTTTTGGGTTTCTTCCCTTTACTTGCCAGTTTTGGTTTGCAGGGCACTAAAGCCATTCAAAGCATTACTCTGAATGTAGCAAAAATTGGAGGGCTCTGCTTAATTCCTCAAGTCTTTTCTAAGATGACAGAGCTAAAGTTTCTCAAGTTTTCCCAACATGATTTTCATGAACAAATCCTCCACCTTCCTCAAGGACTTGAATCTTTGCCAAATGAACTGAGATTTTTTGAGTGGGTTTGCTATCCTTTACCATCCTTGCCTTCCTCATTCTGTCCTAAAAGTCTTGTTGAACTTAAAATGACTTGGAGTCGAGTGGTAAAGCTCTGGGATGGGGTTTTGGTACGTATCAATCTTCCCCCCCCCCCCCCCGGCGGTCCTTGTGTCTCTTTTAAAAATAAAAGCTCAAACAATTAAATATCTCATAAATGGTGCAGGATTTTGTGAATTTAAAGAAAATTGACCTCAGTTACTCCACGCATCTGTTGGAACTCCCAGATTTTTCGATGGCGAAAAACCTTGAAGAAGTAGAACTCTCCAGCTGCAAGAGCTTGCGCAAGGTTCATCCCTCTATCCTAACCATCCACAAACTTGTGAAACTGAACCTATCATACTGTAAATCACTTACCATACTTAGAGGTGATGTCCATTTAAGATCCCTCAGTAATCTTTCTCTTAGTGAATGCTCAAGACTCAGGCAATTCTCAGTGACATCAGAGAATATGAAGAACTTAAGTTTGACAGGCACATCTATCAATGAATTGCCTTCGTCTGTGAGGCTTTTAAACAAACTTGAAACATTATACTTAGATCACTGTAAGAACCTTAAGAATCTTCCAAACAAGTTTTCTAAACTCAGTTCTCTTAGAGAACTTCGGATCATTGGTTGCATCCAGCTTGATGCATCGAATCTACACTTGTTACTCGAAGGCTCAAGGTTCCTAGAAACATTGTTGTTGCAAGATTGTCGTAATTTATTTGAACTTCCAGACAATATTAGATTCTTATCCTCATTGCAGCATCTATCACTACATGAATCAGATATTGTGAAGTTGCCTGCAAGCATCAAGCATCTCCAACAACTTGAAAAGCTTAACTTGGGTAATTGCAGGAAGCTTCATTCTGTGCCCGAGCTTCCACCATCCATTAAAGAACTATATACCACTAATTGCACTTCCCTGAAGAGAGTGATGATTTCTTCCATGGCTGCTGATCAATTGAGAGAAAAAATACGAGTGGGTTCTAGATTTCAGAATTGTGTAAACTTGGATGAACATTCACTTAGAGCTGTAGCAATGCATTCTCATGTCAACATGAAGAGATTGGCATATGAGCATTTATCAAATCTAGGACAAGGTAACATCCTAGGTGGTCCAATTGATGTTATTTATCCAGGAAGCAATGTTCCAGAGTGGTTCGTGAACAGGACAAGGCAGTCTTCAGTAACTGTGGACTTGTCTTCTGCTCCGCCGTCTTCCGTGTCTCTGGGTTTCATCTTTTGTGTGGTTGTTTCTAGGTTTCCATCAAACGACAAGAACTTTGTTGGGTGTGATTGCTACTTGGAAATAAATGGTGAAAGGGACATGAACATGGGTGCATGGACGAGCATAAATACTTGTGAATTTATGTCTGATCATGTATGTATATGGTACGATGAACGATGTTGTCTGAAAACAAGTGAAAGCATGGAAGCTGATGAAAGCAATAATCTGAAGATATGGTTCGAGTTCTTTGCTCAGACTGGGAATACCTGGGAGAAGAGAAGGGATATTGCGGTTAAAGAGTGCGGAGTTTGCCCCATTTATGACTCAGAATATCACACCTTCATTGAAGAACTGGAGTTGAGGCCGCAACTGGGATGGTTTGATGAGAATGAAGATGAGGAAGAAGCAATCCATTTTGCACAGAAATCCAATCAACACATGTGTCCACCTCTTCCAACTAAGACTAACTGGAAGACATCGACACAGGGCTTGAAAGATCTCATCAACCTATGACTGCTTCAAAGGTATCAAACTCTACCTGGGAAATGGTTATCTGAGGTTTATTAACGTGCTTTTACTGATGTTGCCCAATATATAAATCAAACATATATAGCGTATTCAAAAATATGGAAATCAAATACTACGAAAAATGCATAAGCTTTGACATCTTGGGTAAGGAAAATGAAATTGGCATACCAATACCATTACTCTGTTTGAACCAAAACTAATAAAGAAAACATAATTATATTAAAGCTGATCAATTAACTGCTTGGCGATAATATTGGACAGGCCAAATTTCTCCCATTAGAAGACTTGTCGATCAAGTGCCTCTTCGTGCTCCTTTATGATTGTTTCAACCCCTGAATCAAAATTTTCTAGCGTAGTTTCGATTTTATTGGTTACTAAAAATTAATTCGTGTCACTTAAAGTATTATTTATTCAAATTTATTTTGTATCTACAAGTTAAAAGCAACCATGTAGTTTAATTCATCACATGCATAACTTTTAGTATTTTTTTTCAAGATGATATGAATTATACATATATTTTGCTTCGTGTATACATGCGTTTTGTATATAAAAATGACAAAAATGAATATTGTATATATGGTGTTATTTTTTTGGGTTAATATAATCTTTTGGTCCATCAAATTTGTCCTTATTATAATTTTGGTCTTTTAAGTTTTAAATATAGTCCTTTAAGGGACAAAATGGTCCAAGTTTTTATTAAATTATCGGGACTAATGTTTTAAATAGAGAAAAAACTTAAGGGGTCAAAATTTATAGTTTGAAACTTAAAAAGCCAAAACAAAAATAAAGGTAAACTTAAATGGCCAAAGTTTGTATTAACTCTTGGGACAACTAATCTGACAGTCCTTATAGTTTGATTATGTTTTGAATTGAGTCCTTGTAGTTTTTTTTCTTTTTATTGAATCCTTAATCTTTACACCGTTAATAATGCCAGTCCTTGCTGTTAATAAAGCCGTTAATGGATGATGTGGCGTCTGAGGTCATCGTCTTTTTCAGTCAACTTCCCTTAGCTTCTCTCCCCCCCTCCTCCTCTCAGTCTACCTCCGCTCCTGCACAACTATTATGATGTTATTATCGTGGTGATTCTTTCATTTCTCTTAAAGTCAGGTTTTCCATTTAGAACATGATCCTTCTAGGATGTTTGAATTATGACAATCGGATAGTGATAGCCATGAAGCCAGTTGCCCAGAGCTTGAAGAATTTTTTTGCATCATGTTAAGTCAGAGTCTTTCTGTTTCTATGGTTTTCTCATATGAAACACTTTTGACGATTTGTGCTTACTTAGGATGATGATGGTGACAATAATTTGTTTCAAATCATAGCTCCACATGTGTCTATTTTTTTTGGTCTCTGTGGTAGTATGGATTTATTTCTGCATCTGAGAAATGCATTACTTGGATTCCTTAAAAATAAGCCCATAAAAGTGATGGCCAAGCAAAAGAGAAGAACGATGCTGTTATGACTTTTGGGCGTCTTCTTCTTCTGCAACGTTACATAAGTATCAGCAAAAGCAGTAGAGGGAGGAAGAATGGAAGACAGAATTCATTGCACCTCTCTCATTCTGATTTTTTATTTTGAGAGGAAGTGGAAGTGAGAATTGGGGGTGGTGGAGAAGTTATAAGGAGGGAGAAAGAGGGGTGAGGGTGGAAGGGATAATTGCACGCAGATAGTGGTGCGAGAACAGAGGTAGATTGAGTGGAGGAGGAAGAGAGAGAGAAGCTAAAGGAGGTCGGCTGAAGGAGAGGACGGGTTCATATGCCGCATCATCCATCCTCAATTAAACTAACGGCTTTATTAACAGGAAGGACTGAAATTGTTAACAGTGCAAACATTAAGGATTCAATAAAAAAGGAAAAAAACTACAAGGACCCAATTCAAAACATGATGAAACTATAAGGACTATTACATTAGTTTTCCCAAAAATAAAATACGAATTTCAAGGACCTTTAACGCCATAGGATGAGAGGAAGGTAGTGTGGGTTACTCACAAGTCTTGCTTGCTGCATGGCCCGCGTCTAACTACCTTTCTAATCAGTTTTATTTTTTTTAAAAAAATACAACACGCTATTCAGCACTAGAACTCAATCATTTTCACATACTAAAATTTCAATTCGTTTATCTGCATCAAAACAGGAAGTAGTTACGAGATCCGCAGAACGCAAGCGATTTTCTTACAAAAAAATTGCATGAACAATTGCTGAGGCAGAAACAAGAGGGAACATATGTAATACCCACTATGAGCATCAATATAGTGCGGTTGTTCTGTTCTTGATCTATTGTTAAGAAAAGAATGAATCATTATATATGTAAAAACTATTCAATATATGTGTGTGTGGAAGGAAAGACCGAATCATAACACAAATTACATTGTCTTTAATAATATTTAAAGTAAAGAAAATTACATTGACATATGATTGACCACAATAATAGGCAATTATATTACTAACCGAATAATAACACAAATTACATTGTCTTTAATAACATTTAAAGTAAAGAAAATTACATTGACATATGATTAATCACAATAATAGGCAATTATATTACTAAGTTTCATCAGTTCACCCTGTTAGGCAATACGATGGAAGAGCAAGTAAGCGATTAGCTCTTGGAATTAATAGTCCAAATTTCTCAGTCATATCCAACTCATCAGGAGAAACACCATGTGGTAGTTCCCAATTAAAGCAATGCATTAATTGTGCTATAACCAGCTTAACGGTAATTAACCCTAATTGCATGCCAGGGCATCCTCTTCGACCTGAACCAAATGGTATCAGTTGGAAGTCTTTTCCTCGGAGATCTACACTGCTATTCATGAACCTCTCTGGGTAAAACGCTTCCACATCATCCGACCATATCTTAGGATCTCGTCCTATTGCCCACACATTCACAATCACCCGTGACTTGTTGCTTATATAATATCCATTGATAGTTATATCCTTGGTGCTAACTCGAGGGAGCAGCAATGGTGCAACAGGATGTAGTCTCAAAGTCTCTTTGATCACCATGTCCAGATAAGTCAACCTCGGCAAATCAACCTCGTCGACCAAATTGCTTTTTCCTACTAGGTTTTCCAGCTCATGTTGGAGTTTCTTCATTACCCTTGGATTCTTCAGCAATTCTGAGAAGACCCAGAGACTGACAGTGACAGAAGTGTCCATTGAAGCAGCAATCAAATCCAAAAGTATGGCCTTAATATTGTTTCGATCTTTGACAAGGTTTTGTTCGTCATCATGAGAATCCTGTGGGCATGAGAATAATATGTCCACGATGTCCTTGTGTTCCCTTTTCTGCAGAACTGCTTGTGCCTCTTCATGCTCTTTGATGATTGTTTCTAACATCTCATCAATTTCCTTGCTATTCTTCTCTAAGCGTTTTGTAAAACCCTAAATCAACAATGCTTGGTCACCCATAATGAATTCTTTGTAAGATTATATTACTATTACTATTTCTTTTGCAAGACATTATTGATCTAATCTACTTTTTTTTTTGTCAAGTTCGCAAGTTATATTACTAAATTTTTTATGTGAATGTACTTTTTTTTTCTTCATTTATTTTTGTGTACGCCGTAGACTATATTTTAAGGATAACATTAAAATGTTATTAAAATTTAAAATAGAGTTAATATGATTTAATTAAAATTTTTCTTGATTCCAGTTAAACCCACAAAATTTGTATGTAATGCTCTGTATTTTTATGAGAACTACTACCTCTGGTCCTAATTATAAGAGCTAGTTAACTAATTTGAAGAAATTAAGGAAAGAAGTTAAGTTAGTTATTTGTAATAAATAAGTGTTATCTTTCCTAAAATATCCTTGCTAATCAAGTGTATTGGCTAGAATTACCATTGTTAAAAAGACTACTTTGGAAAAAAATATACAAATATGAGAGACAAAATAGATTGAGATCTTATATTTAGAACCAAAATAAAAGCCACACAAAGTCTTATATTAATGACTAAAGGTAGTAATTTATTATTTAGAGATTTTGTGAAAAAATTATTTTGTAGGTATGATTAGTTTTAAAAACTGGGATAAAAAAAAGGTACCTGAATATCAAATGGGCGCAAGAAAGGCAAGAAGTCTGCAATATTGAAAGCTCCCACCAAGCTGAGCGTCTCTTGAACTATTCCCTTCACATCGAACCTATCGTCTCTCTTGCGCCCCAGCATCATTCTATATGTCATGTCCTCTATCACCTCCCCTACCTTCTCATTTACATCCACCACCTCACGCGCCGCCGCCGATTTCTTTATTGACTCCACTGCCTCCTCCAACTCCTCCCTTCTTATAGGACGAAACATCTCCACTTTCGATGCAGTCAAAAGCTGCAAAGTACAGAGCTTTCTCATGTAGCGCCAGTAAGGGCCATATTCGGAGAAAACCATCCCCTTGGAGCCATAGCACAGGAACTCCGACGCTTGAGTCTTTGGTCGGCTCGCAAAAACGACGTCGTGCGTCTTGAGGAAAAGCTCGGCAGCTTCAGGCGAAGAGACGACAACGGCAGGCACCTGTCCCAGTCGGAGGGACATGATGGGACCGTATCGTTTTGCCAGAGAGTGAAGGGAACGGTGGGGGAGGGTGCGCAAGAGGTGGAGGTGGCCGATCAGCGGCCATGCCGGTGGACCTGGCGGTTGTTTCCGGCCATCCCTGGCTGGTTTGAGGTGAGAGAGTAGGAGCAGAAGTGATAGGGTGAAGAAGAGAAATAGAGGGGAAGGTAACAATGGAGGCAACATGTTTAGAGTTTAGAAAAGTGTTTGTGTCAGAAAGAGAAAGAAATTGATTAAAAAAGGCGATGAGGTGGGACTGTATATATAACATTTCGCGAAGAGACATTGAGAGTCGCGGTGGGCGTCTGTACGTAGTTGTGAGTTGTGGTGGTCGGAGAAGAGAAGGAACAAAAACACATGCGTTTAGCATATTTTTTGTAGCTTACTTTTGCTATTTTTTCTGGTTCCGTATTAATTCTGCCACTGCCCATTTTAATATGCTCGATGTCGTGTCTATTCCTGCCAAAAGTTTATAACAAAGCTGCTCTACTTTGGGATCTTATAAATCCAAATCATGATTTGGAGAATAATTTTTTTAAAAAATAATTTTAAGAATAGATTTTGTGAAAAAAAATAATTTTGATAAAGTGAGAGTATTTGGATAGTTGATATCAAAAGCATTTTTAAGTACAAATTACCAAAAAGTACATAAGGAAATTGCAAATAAAGACCCCTAAATATGTAAAATTATAATTTGGAACCCTAAATTTGAAAAACAGCAAATAAGGACCCTATCTCACTTTTATAAATATGAAATGTGGGTGAAATGTCTGAAATGCCCCTCAACCAAATTGTGATTTGGTCTACTGAAGTTGTCATTTGCTAAAGTGAACTTGTCGTTTCTCATAGTCAACTCGTCATTTCACATACCCTCAGTCAAGTTGTAATTTGGTATACTGAAGTTATTATTCGCTAAAGTGAATTTCTCATTTCTCATAGTCAACTTGTCATTTGGCTGAGGGGTATTTCAGACATTTCACTAACAATTTATATTTGCAAAAGTGGGACGGGATCCTTATTTGTTATTTTTCAAATTCAGGATCCCAAATTACAATTTTACATATTTAGGGGCGTTTATTTGTAATTTTTCCAAGTATATAAGTTAATATGATAATTACATAAGAGATAAATTTTAATTTATATTTTCATTTGAACAAAAACAGGTCTTCAGTCATCATATCATCCCTAATCATTATGCTATAGAATAATTACAGCTCTTTAGTTGTCACAAGTTAATCAACCCAAACCAGCTAAAATAACAAATGTCATAGTTATCCAAATAAGCCATCGAATCCCAATATTATTATCATTTTTCTTTCCTTCATATATATATTTGTATGCTACACATGGATTTCAAAACAAACACGCAAATAAAAGGCCACAAAAATAACCTTCTTTTTTGGGATTGACCATCCCAGACCTTAGATTGACAAATAACAGGTCAAAAAGCAAATCCTCTGTCTCTAATAACATGCAAATCATGAGTTTTTTTGGTAGCAAAATAATTTCTAATTTTTTGTCATAGCCAAACAAGTTGAAGAAAAACAGGTCCTTTGTCTCCAAAAGTTAGATTCCATTTTATAAAATCAGATTATCATGAAATTGAACCAAATAACAAGATCACATGAGTTCAATAGAGCAAGCAACATATGAATGTGGGAGGAAAAACAGACGAAGCCAATACTGAAACAAACAAATCAAGCCACTAGTGAAAGCAAATTGTGGTTGGAAAAAAAAAAACAAAGGTGGTAGGAAATATGAGAACGAAACAGATCCTCTATCTCTAATGAATAACCACAAGCAGCTATAAGCAAGAATGAGCAAAATAAAATATAACAAGACTGGACAATGCAATGAGTAGATAATTATTAAAGAGGAAAGAGCGAACCATAAGCAAGGAACATATGAAGGATGGACGGATAGATGCAATGCATGAGGGAAAAAATGATTATTGAAGAGGAGAGCTTACTTGAGCTGCAGATTTGAGCCAAGTAACCAAACACGTCGACCTCACCAAATTACCACCGAATGATGTCAAGAACAAATATTGCAAACCAAGGATGGGAAGATTGGACAACGCAAGGCGTGATCTTCTTCTGCTGAGTCGAGACGCTTGTTCTCGCAAGCCCCTGACAACCTCATCTACAGCAAGGCGTTCTGTCGAGTTTTAGAAGGAGCAAAGGCAAATGAGTTTTCAGAGAAGAGGCGAAGCTTGTGATTCAATTCTAATGGATGTTTTTGTCAAATATCGTTGGGTGACTTCTGTAGGACATAAATCGTAGTCCAACGACAAAAAATTTACTCTCAAAAGCGAAAATTTCCTGCTTCTTCAGAAACCTAGGTTTTGGAGGCCAAAATCTTTTGTTTTGGGCCAAACCAAGGTTGTCTTAAAAAATTTGGATGTTTGAATGATATCTGGCTCAAACCATAGTTTGGGGTGAAAAATCTTTTTTTTTTTTTCAAATTGCCAAATACCCCCCATCACCCAATCATTCTTTGTTTTCAAAGCTCAGAATTAGGGGTGTTTAAAGCTGGCCCGTCCCGTTCTCAGCTTTATTGGGGCGTGACGGGCCTGTCTTGAAATTTTTTGGAATAGGACAAACTGGAACAGGACCAAAAAAGGGGTTCGGGAAGGGACGGGACACGGGACGGGGTTGTCGTGTCCTGGTCTTGTCCTGATAGGTATACTTTTTTTTTTAAAAATATTTTGTATCATATTTAATTGTTTTATAATACATAATTATATATTATTATTAAATGTTAAAAACAAATAAAATAATAATATGAAGCCCTGGGTGGAGTAATGTTAATTGCCAATAGCTTGCTTGGGTCTTGTGTTTTGTGCATGTTGGCGTGGAATGGTAGCTTCTAGGAACTGATTTGATTTTATACATGTTCCAAAAAAAAAGAATGAACATCAGGAAAATAAATGAAGAATGCGGGGAATTCATAGAAGATGGACTACGCTTTTAGTTTTTATTGTTGAGGGTTACAAAAATATTTGAAGTAGGCCAATTGTTACAATAAAATGGAAAAATTTTGATTAAGGACCACATATGGGAATTAATTTCAAAGAGCCTCTAAAAAAAATCTGAAATTTCAGTTAAGGATTCTGAAATTTTACTGAAAGACCCAGGGGACAAAGTGAAATTAATTCCTGAACCCAATTTACTCAAATGCCCCGCAAAATTGTTGCCTGAAATTTGGAAATGATATGGCCGAAAAGTATGAAAACACCATCCCACTTTTCCCTCTCTCATTTTAGTCACATTCCCTCTTCCCTCTTAACACAGTTGCGTTGTGTCTCTGAAAACTGTTAAAGATATTCAACCACCGAAGGAGACTGTGGGCATCGCTGTGGCTATAGTTCCAGCGTAGCCATTGCCGTGGATAAAGGAGGAAACTTGAAAGGCTGACTCTTTGGTGTATGATAGTCGGTAGAACAACAGGAAGAAGAAGGAGAAGCAAAAATCGGTTGGAAGGCGATCGAGATAGCACGAACGAAAAGTAGAAGAGACTTCAGGCAAATAGCAGAGTGAAGCTCGATGAAGGTAAGACTCCTCATGTATCTTGAATGCTATTTTCGTGTGATTGGGTTTATTTATAAGTGAGAGACGCGAATGAAGTTCTATTTGTGCAACTGAATCATCCATTTATTTGTCAGGAGATTAAAGAAAAAACACTGATTGTGTGGGTCTATTATTGTGGTGGGTGCTCTGTTTTTTGCCTTTGATAAAGGTGGGTGCTGCATTTGTGTGCATTTGAAATTTTTTTATGAGAGGTGGGTGAACGAAATTATGAGGGGAAACGTTATGTTTGAGACAAGGTTTGGGCTTGAGAGAAGAACTTATTGTCTGTGATTGTTTGTGATTAGTGGGATAACGCTTAAAGTTAGGAAATTTTCCAGAAAAAGTAGTGCATTTACAAGTTGAAAGTGGTTAATTGATATTCAGTGGTGTAACAACTGAAGTTAGAGAATTTGCCAGAAGAAGTAGTGCATTAACAAGTTCATTGTGGCAACTTCATCTTCAGTGTACTGACAATTTATTCTAGGTAATTTACATGACGAATAAATGCATTTGCAACCTGACTGGAATAATGCCATGTGTCATCCTGTAACAAGTGATGTAAAGAAATTTTCAATCATAGTGTATTTACGAATATGGAGGTCATTGAACAAATGGAGCAGCATACAATCAATGTTGATGAACTGTGCACCGTACTGATTAATGAAACCATAATTATTATGTGCAGGGCTAGAAAAGATAAGTAAGAAGGATCTAGAAGTTACAGGGTGGAAGTTATTAAGATTGAATTTTAGAGGAAGAATAAAAGGACATATAAGTATGGGTGGAAATAGACTAGGCGGCTTGTGGCTTGGCCTGGCCTAGCCTGACTTATTTAGATATCAAAACAAGCTTAGGCCTGTAAAAAGGCCTGTTTACTTTATCAGGCCAGGCTCAGGCCTGATAATAAGCCTGTTAGGCCTGTCAGGCAGTCTAGGCCTGTTATCTTTTTTTTTTAAAAGTTAAAATTGTAAATGGACAGGAGGGAGTTTGCTATTCTGATTGGTTAATTGAGAAAATTCCACCCACATAAACGTGTTATCCAGAGTTCATTGCATGCTTCATTTCATTTTCATTCTCCATAATAAAAATAATTGATATATGTATAATGACACATGTTTAAACAGAGGAAAAAACATAAGTGCATTAAAAAAAAAAGCATCATTCATTTATTTGACCCATGCTTTTCATATTATTCTTATATAGAATTATATATATAATTGACCTATTATGTTTTAAACTACATATATGTGTGCTCAATCTAATTCTTATTATAATAGTTACTTAATTAATTTAAATTATAATAAATGTAACACATTTTCTTTAAAACAACCATGTGTAATAACATGATCAAATATCATTTTGTTAGCAAATTAGTTTGAACAAATGATAAATTTAAAATGTAAAGGGGATTAAGGACGTTTTATGTTTTAAACTAGATCAAGTCATCAACTAATTTTTATACCAAAGTGAAATTATGTTTTTTGATAATTTTTCATATTTGATTTTTTTGGGGCCTAAGGGTTATAATGTTAATTTGATAATTTTCATATTTTCTGTTTGTATTTTAGATAAATTGGGTTAAATTATTGTAATTTTGAATTGATTTATTTATGTTTG